GATGTGTGTGGATATTTAGAGGCATAGGTGACAGGAAGGGGAAGGTAGGGGGAGCACATTTCACAGTTCTCACCAGACAGGAATTCATGGTACAGGCCAGCACTCAGACAAGCAACAGGTATTCTACGTTTTCACTTGAAATTGTAATAATAATAATAAAAATAACTTTATTTATATAACACAGGTTTACAAAGTGCTTTGACAAACAGCAAAAACAAGAACAAACTAAACCAAACACAGAAGAACACAAACAACAGCAAGAACATAACAAATGCAAAATACTCAAAATAATTAAATACAAGAACCCATAGTACACGATACCCAACAGACATATATAACCGGACAATCACAAGAACCAACATAAGAACCATCATAAGAACCATCACAAGAACCATCACAAGAACCATCACAAGAACCATCATAAGAACCATCATAAGAACCATCACAAGAACCATCACAAGAACCATCACAAGAACCATCATAAGAACCAACATAAGAACCATCATAAGAACCATCACAAGAACCATGATAAGAACCATCATAAGAACCATCACAAGAACCATCATAAGAACCATCATAAGAACCATCATAAGAACCAACATAAGAACCATCATAAGAACCATCACAAGAACCATCATAAGAACCAACATAAGAACCATCATAAGAACCATCACAAGAACCATGATAAGAACCATCACAAGAACCATCACAAGAACCATCACAAGAACCATCACAAGAACCATCATAAGAACCAACATAAGAACCATCATAAGAACCATCATAAGAACCAACATAAGAACCATCACAAGAACCATCACAAGAACCATCATAAGAACCAACATAAGAACCATCATAAGAACCATCACAAGAACCAACATAAGAACCATCACAAGAACCATCACAAGAACCATCATAAGAACCATCACAAGAACCAACATAAGAACCATCACAAGAACCATCACAAGAACCATCATAAGAACCAACATAAGAACCATCATAAGAACCATCATAAGAACCATCACAAGAACCATCACAAGAACCATCATAAGAACCATCACAAGAACCATCATAAGAATCATCACAAGAACCATCACAAGAACCATCATAAGAACCCAGGCAAAACAAGAACCCAACAACACGAGCTGAGACCAAGAGGACCAAAGATTTAAAAAGATGTAAGAAACTAAAAGAGCTAAAAGCAAATAAAAAGATAACAGCAATAAGAAGGTAAGAACAGTAAAAGAAATAAGCGGTTAAAGGATTAAAAAAATAATAATAATAAACTATAATATTAATAAAAATAAAATATAAATATAAATGTAAAACATAAATAGACAAAGTAAGTAAGATACGAAATTACCTAGTTAAAAGCGGAGTTAAGATAAGAACATAAATACGAGATAAGAGCATAAATAAAGAGCATAAATAAAAGGACAGTAAGAAGTAAAAGAAGATAAAAGTATGTATGTTTTGTTCTCATATCGGCATCAATTTACTTCAATAAACCTTCAACTCAGCTATAATTACTGCTGGAAAATCATTGTTTGCATGTGCGTAAGACTTCATCCCTACCTGTGTATTAATGGCAATAAATAGGAATAATGGAAAAATTGGAAAATTGCCATTACACCCTGTGTGTCCTAGTCTAAGTCTTGTTATGGTCGTTTACTCTTTCCTATTGTTTTAATTCTCTCCTGCTTTTTGTTAAACTTTATAAAGATGACGTCGTGTATATTATGTGTTGTCTATATTCATTAATTTGTAAGGCCTTTTTATATGAGGGACAAAAAAATTACTAAAGTATAAATAAATAAATTGATAAATAAATAAATGTTAGGAGAAATGCATACAATAATGTATAAATAAATAAATAAATAATTAAATAAATAAATGCATCAATAAATATATAAATAAATATATAAATGCTGAAAATAATACATCAATAAATAAATAATAAATACACTTTGTTAATGAAAAAGGCTATTTATATATGTATTGTATTGTATGTATTTATTCATTTATTAGTGTTCCAATTTATTTCTACAGTTATATATATGTATCAATGCATACATTTCCACATTAATTGAGGTATTCATTTATTTCCGTATTTTTACATTTACACATCTATTTATTTCTGTGTCCAGGTCGTAAGAGGAAAAGTATATGTGTAAATTTGATTCTGTCTGTTTTTCAAAATTTACCAATCCTACTTTAGTAATGTTAGGACGGCCCACTTAATTTACATATTTACTTTTCCTTGTATAACATGGACACAGAAATACATAAATAAATGTATGAATATATTTATTTATATATACATTTTTATATGAATTGTTGCATTTATATATATATATATATATATATATATATATATATATATATATATATATATATATTTAATTATTTATACATTATTGTATGCATTTCTTCCAACATTTATTGATTTATTGATTTATTTATACCAGGGGTCTCCAACCTTTTTTCATCTGAGAGCTACTTTCAAAAAGTGAAAGTGGCCAAGGGCTAATTGCATCAAATCGCTTGCATTTATTTACATAGCTCAGCTGAATTAAGCTACTGTTTGTACATGTGTGAAATTGCAATAAGCCAATGCTTATCAACAATCTTAAATTCACATAAATGTCCAAGAAAACATTAGTACTTCTTACTTGTTTTTATGGGCCAAATATATGAATAGTAGGAAGAGGTGCATTTACCGTCGTCAGATTTTTATTTTTATTTTTAACACAGTCGGTCAACCTATAGGCGAGCTACTGAAAACCTACCAGTAGCTCCCGAGCTACATGTTGGAGACCCCTGATTTATACTTTAGTCATTTTTTGTCCCTCATATTTTTACATACTTCAGTAATTTTAGGACAGCCCACTTAATTTACATATTTACTTTTCCTTGTATATAATAATAATAGACTTTATTTGGCATGGACATCACAGATACATTGGACGAACCAGATGCATTGTTTAAGTGTTTTAGCAAGCATGCTAGTTCTCAACACCTGTCCACAGGAGGCTTTTGAAAATTAAACAATTAAGATTTATGCCAGTGGGCAGAGAGTTCCAAAGTTTTGCCCCCTTTGCAGAGAAAGCAGACTGGCCAAAGGATGTCTTGTACATTGGGACAAAACAATCACCGCTGATGGAGGCTCGTGTGACTGCCCTACGAGAGCTCTGACGCCTAATGGCTAATTCAGATAACAGTGGAGACACATGATTATTTACACATTTAAAAAACAGTCTAAGATTACTAAAATTCATAAAATTGTCAAAGGTGAAAAGGTTGTGTTTTTTTTAAAATGCTGCAGTGATGCCATCTCATAGGTTTCTGGTCCATGACTTTTATTGTCTGCTTATATAAAGAAACAATAGGTTTTAATGTAGTTGGAGAAGTTTGGGACCATGATGTGATGCAATATGACAGATGTGAAAAAATCATTGCATGCATGTATAATTTGGCAGTTTGACATGAAATGTCCCTTCTAATAAAACGAAAACAATTTAGATTCAGTTTGACCTTCTTCACAATGTACTTAACCTGACTGTCAAATTTTAAATTCTCATCCATGATGATGCCTAGATACTTTTACAACAGTTTTCTTAACATTAATAGTTAAATGAGACAACTCGAGCCATTTGGAAACATTACGTAATGCCTCTGTTAGGTGTTCACCTGCTAAGCTAGCTGTTTTAGTGGACACATGGATAACGGTATCATCTGCATACATCTGGCAGTTGGTGCCTTCACAGCAGTTTGGTAGGTCATTGATGTACATTGAGAACAACAGTGGACCAAGTACAGACCCTTGTGGTACTCCCATACTGTTGGGATGCAGATGAAACTTCACCCCATTGACCCTAACACATTGCTGTCTCCCCCCCAGGTAAGATTTAAACCACTGCAGAGCTTCTGATGACATTTGGAATTGCTTTAATTTATTCAGTAAAATAGTGTGATTGACAGTGTCAAAGGCCTTTTTCAGGTCCAAGAACACTGCCCCGACAACATTTCCTTTATCCAGTGGAGCTTTAATATTTTCAAGCAAATAGCAGTTTGCTGTTTCAGTGGAATATTTTTGTCTAAACCCAAACTGCTGTGGATGAAGCAATTGGTTAGACTCTAAATGTTCCATCAATTGCTCAGCTACAATCTTCTCCAGAATCTTTGAGACTACAGGGAGAATAGCAATAGGCCTGTAATTACTTGCTGATGTCCTTGTCTCCTGATTTAAAAACTGGGGTAATTATTGCAGTTTTTCAGCTATCTGGGATTTTTTTTGTTTGTATTGACAGGTTGACTAAGTAAGTAATTGGCTCCAACAAATAGCTCTGGTGTTTTTTGATTAATGCAGCATGAAGGTTATGAATATCCTTTGACGTGGAGTTACTCATGTTCGAAATCATCTTTTTAACTTTGTCATGTGATACAAAAGGAGTCTGTGCGATCATGGTCAGGTTCTTCGGGAGATGACTCTGTAGTTTTGAAATGACTCGCTAACTCTTGTACACTCTCAATAAAAAAGCTATGAAAAACATTTGCAATAGACTCGTTACTATGAATTAAATTATCACAGACTTTAAGACAGTTTATTTTGGGGTGCTTTTGCTTACTGGAGTTAGTTAGTTTGTTTATGTGTTGCCACAATTTAGAACTACTGCCACTGGCCTCTTCATGTGGCCGTATAACATGGACACAGAAATACATAAATAAATATATGAATATATTTATTTATGTATTTTTTTATATGAATTGTTACACTTATATATATATATTTATTGATGCATTTATTTAATTATTTATACATTATGGTATGCATTTCTCCCAACATTTATTTATTTATACTTTAGTCATTTTTTGTCCCTCATATTTTTACATGTGGTTCCATATTGCCGTGCATTGACCGAGCACTTGCTCCTCCGCGCCACTAGGGGGCGCTTGTCCGCTGCGAATAAATGCCTTCGTGGGTTGACCAGGGCCGCCCAGCCATGTTGAGGAGTCTGTCAAGCAAACTGCAGCCCGCCATTGTGTAGAAAGCAGGCACTGTAGAGAAGATAGGGGCGCTTGGCTAAAACTCTTTAACACCGAGACCTATTCCACCACTTTCTTTTTTTTTTTTTTTTTAAGGAGTTAATAAAGTTACACAGGCTTCCGGGGGGGAAAGACATGTCAGCCAGCAGCCTTCTTCAGCAGGTAAAGAAAGGTATTCACTGAACCTATTTTTTTTTTTTTTTTTTTTTTTTTTTTTTCTTACGAGGGCCAAAAAAATTCTCAGCGTCGCGACGGCTAGCGAGGTTAGCTTAGCTCCGAGGCAGCGGCCGTGGCTCCGTAGTGCAGCAGTATAGGCCTGACCACCTGCTTTAAAAAAAAGGAAACCCCCCCCGACTGCTCAAATATATCATCACCTTCATCTATTATTTTTTTCCCCTTCCTCTCTTCGCATAAATCAAACCTTCATGAATCACCTGGACCCAATCCAGAGACCGAAAGGCCAAGCTAATAAAGGTAAGCGGCTAATATTGTCTTCAGTGAATGCGGGTCTTTTTTTCTTACATACTGGTGCGGCTTTGAAAATCAGGCCTTGTGTGTTTTTTGTGCTTCTTATACGTGACTTTGACTCGACGTGTAACTACCACACGTGTCACTACAGTGTTTCAACCTTTATCTTGTAGTCAATACTTTCGTTTTATCCCTGAAACTGCGCTTCACAGTTAGCATTAGCTCCCCCTTGTTGAGTTAGCATTGAATGGCAACATGATGCACATCAGCATCCCCCCTTTTTTTTTTTTTTCCTGGTTGCACATGCATCAGCCTTTTTTCGTTGCACTGACTTCCTTTCTAATCGGGTCTAATGTGCACATGTTTGCAGTGCAGAGCCACAGGTGCCCCCCCTTATCACACCTGGCCCCTCTTTTTAAAGCAGAAAGTCCCGTCATGTTGAACGAGTCTTGGCGCTTCGTTTTAACACGGAGACGCTGCGCACTGCACGCAGCTAGCCTCAGAGCTAACATGCTAACTGTGTGCTAAGTCAACCCACCGAGAATGACACGTCTTCCGACATGTGGGTCCGAATGGGCCGCGCACTTTCCCGTCATCGTGCTTTTCAGACTTTTGAATTAAGACGGCGTATATTTACTGTACATACGGGTACTTTGTCCGACCTTTCCCTGTGCAGGAAAGCGGTTCAAATAGGTCCTCAAACATTAGAAACACCAGTCACAACAGAGAGCACAACTAATGATGTAACACTGCTTTCTCCTGTATTAAATGTGCTATCCGCTCATCTCTTGGTAATGAATATTTTAACTAGGGGTTCTTTTTTATCTTGCATTTTGTTGTATTAAATGAGCACTTTTTAAATATTCCCTTTGGCTGATTCATCCAGTCATGAAAGCTGAAGTTGGGTAACCTGAAGCACATAGATCAGTTATAATGTGTGATTGTCTGATCATGCCCCATGCATGAGTGCTTTTCCTCGTGTACTCATAAATGGTTACAGGGAGTGGTTTTGTTATGTAACAGGTGTGATAAGGCTGATGTTAAATGGCCAGATAAAGTAATGTCACATGGACTTGGACTTCCTGTTTACACCAATGTTGTCTTCCTTTTTCTTTTTTTTTCCAGTGCAAAACGGAGCTGTGACCCAAAAGGATACTTTGAATGACGATGAGTTTGAGCCTTACCTGAACACTCAGGCCAGACAGGTATGTTTGTGTTGATGTCTTTTCAGTCACTTTTTTTTTTTTTCAAAACCTTGGCTTTACTTCTAGTAATCAAAAGACTGAAGCACTTTTATATTAGTTTAGGTTCATGGTTAGTCATAATCTTTGTAGAGCCACAAGATAAGGCGTCTGATTTCTTAATCTAAGTAGCATGTGTCCACAGTCGTCTGTAATATTAGCCCGGGTCAGTTCCTAAATGCTTGTGTGATCTAAATACTGATTTGGAAGTTTCACTCAGAACATCATTCATACTTAGAGGCTATTTTGACATGATAAATAGTGGGAATATTTAGTGGAGGTAGGGGATTGTCTAGGATGTTTCACATGCAGCATATTATTAGTACTGAGTCAGTACATGACAAAGCCCATCAATTTCTTGGTTTGTTCAGTGAGTTTTGTAGACTGTGTCAAAAAAGTGGCCTTGATGTTTCTTTTTGAGTTCACAACGTTGCATTTGCGTTACCTGGTAGTACAGCAGAACCGTACGGATGTGCGGCTGGAGTGCACACTTTGTCATCGAGTGGCCTTGGATTTTATTTGCCTCAAACTATGTTGTAAAAATGGTGTTCCCCTTGTGTGGTAGCAGGTTCTGCCTGTGGAGTGTACATTTCCCTCCACTGTGAGGAATACACCGTCCTTTGGTTAAAGATATTGTGATACTTTTTCTTGTCTTTACACATCAGACAGCAGGGGGTTAAAGGGGTATAAAAACAGCCTCATACTGTGTGGCAAATTCTTGCTGTATTATAATTAAAATACAAAGTTATGTTGCTAACTATACTCATCTTTTCATCTTTCTTGAGCTGCTGTAACGCAAAAATTTCCCCCCATGGGGGATCAATAAAGTTTATCTTTATCTTTAATCTTGGTGTAGCATTTTGGATCTACAAGAATCAGGTATACATACAGTATGTCAAACAGAAGGTTATGTGTAAACATTGTTAATGTTTTATAACAGATTGAATTTAAGTGTTTATTGAAAAAAAAGATTTTGTTGGTTTTGCTTCGTTTTGCTTTTCTCTAAAATTATTTGTTTCTATTCCTGTTTAGAGCAATGCCTATACGGCCATGTCGGACTCGTACATGCCCAGCTACTACAGCCCCTCCATAGGATTTTCCTACTCCCTAAACGAGGCAGCATGGTCCACAGGTGGGGACCCTCCTATGCCTTACCTGGCCTCCTATGGACAGCTAAGCAATGGGGAGCCCCACTACCTCCCGGACGCTATGTTTGGCCAGCCAGGCCCCCTGGGGAACAACCCTTTCCTCGGCCAGCATGGTTTCAACTTCTTCCCCAGTGGCATCGACTTCTCAGCATGGGGCAATAACAGCTCTCAGGGACAGTCGGGGACACCGCAGAGCTCTGGCTACAGCAGCAGCTATGCCTATGCTCCTAGCTCGCTTGGAGGTGCTATGATCGATGGACAGTCCCCGTTTCCACCTGCTGCCAATGAGCCCCTGAACAAGGCACCTGGTATGAACAGCCTTGACCAGGGCATGGCAGGGCTTAAGATCGGCAGCGCTGCTCCTGGTGGTAATGGGGACATGGCTCCTAAGGTGGTGGGCTCTGGATTATCTGGTGGGGGTCCCCTTGGCCCTGTATCATCTGTAGGACCTCCAATCATGCCTCCTGTCTCAATTGCCCCTGCCAAGCCCGCCTCCTGGGCCGATATTGCCAGCAAGCCAGCAAAGCCTCAACCCAAGCTGAAAACTAAGGGTGGCATGGCAGGTGCCAATTTGCCCCCTCCGCCCATTAAACACAATATGGACATCGGCACTTGGGACAACAAGGGCACCATGCCTAAAGCTGCCGCCCCTCAGCAGGTGCCCTCTATTCCGAGCAATGGGCAGCCGCCCAACCAGGCTTCCCCACAACCTGGAGCTACTGCAGCAGGGAACCCACAAATGCCCCTCAGCAATGGACAGATGGTGCCGCCTGTTTCCCAGATGGGGCAGCATCACCTTCCACCCAGTGGACAACCAGGTATGGGTCAGATGCCCCAGCCTCCTCTCTCCCAGGGTCCTACTCCACCAAGCCAACAGCAGCAACCCTCTCAACCTACTCGTTGGGTTCCTCCACGGAATCGGGCAAATGGATTTGGGGATGGCAGTGGGAATGGTACAGGCCAGTCTCCTCCCACCTCCTCTGGTGTGGGTGTGGTTCCTGGGGTCCCCTCTGAGCCACATCCAGTCTTAGAGAAATTGCGCATGGTCAACAATTATAACCCCAAGGACTTTGACTGGAACCCGAAGGCGGGCAGGGTGTTTATCATCAAGAGCTACTCCGAGGATGACATCCACCGCTCCATCAAGTACAACATCTGGTGCAGCACGGAGCATGGCAACAAGAGGCTGGACGCTGCTTACCGTTCATTGGGTGGCAAAGGGCCGCTTTATCTTCTGTTCAGTGTCAATGGGAGCGGGCACTTCTGTGGTGTAGCAGAAATGCGCTCACCCGTGGACTACAACACGTCTGCTGGCGTGTGGTCACAGGACAAGTGGAAGGGTCGTTTCGATGTGCGCTGGATCTTCGTTAAGGACGTTCCTAACAGTCAGCTTAGGCACATTCGGCTGGAGAACAACGAAAATAAGCCTGTGACCAACTCTCGGGACACACAAGAGGTACCGCTGGACAAAGCCAGGCAGGTGCTAAAGATCATCGCTGGATACAAACACACCACTTCCATCTTTGATGACTTTTCTCACTACGAGAAGCGTCAGGAGGAGGAAGAGTGTGTGAAAAAGGTAACAAAGTTACAGTTGAATAATGTAAATGATGAATGATCTTACCTGATGTTGAAAGGGTTCAGTCTATGATGCTCGTTTGGGTGTTTGTATGCATGTAAAGCTGTTCTTTTTCATACAAAGGGTTTTTGGAAAATGTGAAGGATTCACGGTTGAAATGACATCGTTTCCTGAATTTTTTGTAAACAAAACAGAATATTGGGATTTATTTCTCTGTGGTGATGTGCGGTTTTCCTGTCAATTGAAGAATGAACTTCAGAAATAATTTTGGTGCAGGATATTCACCCAATGTTTATTTTGTAAATGACAATATCAGATGATTCCTCAAGTACAAATCTGATAAGTGAAATAATTGGTTTCCCTTTGAAACTTTTGTCAGGGGAGCATTAAATGTCATTTAGTGTTAGAAATGAAACTAACTTTTTTATATTCAGAATCAGGTTTTATTGCCAAGTACATTTACACATACAATGAATTTGACTTGGTGTATTGGTGCTAGACAATGAACTAAAGGAAATAAAGCAGAACTAGCAACAAATAATACAGTATAAGATATTACAATATATAAAATAGAATTTAAAAATGTCAAAAAAAAATACAGTTAAATGTGGTGTTCAAGACATAATTTTTTTTACCTTATATTCCCTACAAGTCTGATACTGCTGCTACCAGTATGAAACGGAGGGGTTTTAATGGTTCTATCTGAAGTTTGTCACAGACATGCACTGTCATGACCTAAAGTGTAGCCACCTCCATAACCTGCTGCATGCAACTTAACACCTATTTGTTGTGGTATAGTAAGAGGCCACTTTGCTGCACAAAGCATGCTGGGATACGTGGTGACGGGTACCAGGCTGACGATGCCACTTTATAACCGCTTGTCTCCCTCATTGGGTCATAATCATGCATTTCAGGAAATGTTGGCATACTGTTGAGTAAATAAACCCTGTGGGATGGACGCTGGTTTGATTGGAAAGACTCCTCAATTAAAGAAACAAAGCGACCAGCGGATCTGGTCAGCTCCACTCTGGGCTAATTGGCAGCAGGTCTGTGTATCTGTACTTCACAACTGTCGATGTAACTTCAGACAGAGAGCTGGACAACCGTACCAGTAGCCAACAGTATAGACTCTCCACACGATGAAAATGATGCTTCTAGAAAGAGCTACACATCTGCACAGAAGTTCACTTTTGCAGAAAGACGGTTGAATCATTTTGTCCCTCTGGGAGACCCCCCCCCCAAAAAAAAAAAAAAAAATACACTGCTTCTTATATTCTGGTGTGACTTATATTTCTGGTTTTAAGGTGAATGAAATCCATTCTTAGGACTTTTTATTGTGGCACTGACAGCATCAACATATGGAGACAAATAGAACAGTAAATATGCATTTTAGCTTCCAAATTGTGAGAATCCTTTTGAATTGTTTTCAGGACTTATTTATCATGAAAGGGTCACTGTTTGATACTTGGGATCAAGGGCCTATGTCGCTGTATTACACATAAAACCAGACAGGATTTCATGTGACAGAGGAACACATTCAGGGAAAATGATGCCAAGATATCACACCTGCTTGGCTTCTACAAAACAAACGTGTTTTCTCAATTGCTAATATTTGTCCACTCCCTCTCAGTTGTAGCTACATTTTTTTTAAATGCAGAAAGCTTTTTTTTTTTTTTGCCAAGAACTGTTTTAGTTGGATCTACTTTGACTTTGCGCCATCTTTGTATATTTTGGTTGTGCTTAGAAACGTCATGTAAAGCATGTTAAGTCTATAGAAAAGCAGCGCTTAGTGTGAACGGCTGGTTGCTTAAAGGAAACATGTGTCTTACACCCAAGATAGAAGGTCAGATCCCCAATCAGCACAATTGAGCTTATGTTGTGCATTTTTTTTTACGTTTTGTTCTTGCTACCTACATTTAAAATCAAGACATCCAGACGTCTGTCCATTCACAACCATTGAACAGTCAGTGATATTGTTAAAATTGAATTATTCTGCAGGTTTGAACTTGGTGCATTGGTGTATTTTCATGTCAAAAAGATCTGTGATCATTGAATTTTAGAGACTTGTGAAGGTACAACAATCTCATGGAGCCTGAGAATCTCAAGGTCCTTCTTCTGCAGTTTAAAAAAGAACTGAATAATGTATTTATTAGTTGTCTCCTTACAAACACAGACCTGAGAGCCACAAGTAACCTGTGACTGTGATGACATACTGGTGGATAAAAAGCACCATTTCCATTTGATATATGGGGCATCAAAAAGGCTTTATTTAGAGCATGCATTTTTAATTCTCCCACATTATTTTAGATGAGCGGTTACTTCATGTCTTATGTCAAATATAGAACTTGTAAGGTTTGTCATGCGAGATTCTGTTATTTAATTCTTGTATGTTAGTGGGCAATGATTTAGTCTAACTTATGTCTTTGATCATGAACTGATATTTAATGCAAAGTTGAACGACTTTTGAAAATCCTCAACTCTTCCTCATCGTTCTGGGTTTTTTTTTAATTATTATTTTTTTAAGGCAAACTTTTTGACCACATTTGTGACTTACCATAGATCTGATTTTAAATCTAGTCTCTTGTTTTGTATGAACTTTGTCCAAGTGTGCTCAGTTTTTGCTCTTCTGTGTGACAGGTGGAAGTCCAAGGCAGTGAGCCATATCCCAGCAACCCAAGCAACAGGAGTCATTACAGGCTTCAGGTAAATAGCCTCACCTGTCGCTGTAGCAGTTCTTTTTTTTTTTTATAGTCCTTTTGATACGTGATTGATTTAAGTTTTATTGTGGTTTTACATTCACATGTTGGAGATTGTGAGTGTTTATAAGTCCATCATCTAAGACTCTACACAGTCGTTTGTTTAGTTAAGGATTGAACCAGACGACATTACAGCTCCTAACTTGTCTTTTTTTTTTTTCACCTTTTTTTCCTTCTAGGAGCGCCAAGGACGGGTCAAGTAACAGTTGGTGCTTTGGTCAAAAGGACTGCAATGGCCCACCCCTAAAGCCCTATCCACCCCATCATTACATCATTACATCCAGATCTCTAAGAAATTCTAATAGGGGTGAAGAATTAACCAAGGACAAAAAAAAAACTAAATGAAGACTTTCTTGATTTCTTTTGACTTTAAAGACTTACTTCGAACTTGTAGTAAAAAGAAAAGGAAACAATTATCCATAGGACTACGACTAAATGCATAGCATCCTTAGGTGAAATCTTTTTTGCCCCACCCCCCCCATTCCACTACATACCCTCTCCCCCCCCTTGTATGCTGCTTTTTCCTTTCTTTTTTTTTTTTTTAAATGAAAGGATCATCCTCTGTTTTTACGGTCCAAGAGCAAGCCTGCTTTTTCTCACACAAAAAAAAACCACACAAAATCCAATAGAAATGTGTAGTGTTGGCTGAATATAGTGTCCCAAAGTCGAAAATGGGCAGTTTGTCTCATTTTCTTTGTACACCCCACCCCTTCCCCCTCTCTCACCACGCTTGTCTTTCTGAGGATTGCGCCACATCTTCACCCAGGACTCAGTGGAGTGTCCTCGACGGAGTTTTCATCTTCTGCAACGATCCCGACTCCCGAGTCTGTTCTGTACATGCTCGTCATGTTTTGTTTGAGAAGACTGCAGGTGTTCACAATGGCCCTCTTGTTTTTGTTTTTTTCTCTCTTCCATGTATTGGGCTGAGTTTTTGGTGAAGGCAGATCTTGGAGAGGGAGAGTAGTGAAGGAGGGCGGGGAGGGAAGAGTGTGAAAGGGAAAGAAATGTTAAGTTGATGAGCCGTGCTCTGTGTTTAATTTTACGGTCTAAAAAAAAGAAATTGGGGCCCTCTGTTAACAGTCTTCATTGGACTTTATTTACCCTCTGTTCCTTTCTCTTGGACAAGTTAAAATCATCATTGCTTTGGGCTGCTTTCTTGTGTTTTTGTTTTTTCCTCCTTTCCTCAGTTTTCTAAAGACAGTGATGCGAGTGGCCTTGCCCCCACTCTTTCTATTAATCAGTTCAAAAGTAATAAATGTGGTATATTCAGCAGATCTGGTGTGCATTCCCCTTGTTTGACTGTAATGAAATGTGTCACGCAGTGTTGTCTGTACACTCTTCTCATCCGGTTTGTTCCTTCCCCAGACAGGTTTAGGGGAATGATTGTTCGTCTGCTTACCTTCAGACTCGACCCGTCCGCTCTCTTCTCCTGCGCCACTGTACCCTGCTTTTTTTAATTTTTATTTTTTTTAATGTCCTCTGCTTTTCACGTCTTCTTCGCTCTCATTACCCATCTCTTGACTGCTCAGCCAACTTTACGTACTATATCACAATCAGCTTCCACCACTTCCAGAATGTCAATGTTGGTGAGTTACAAACAAACAAACAAACAAACAAAAAAACACAAGGTCCTCTTTCAGAACTACTGGCTTTTATTTGTGGCATAATAAAGATGCTCCACAAACTTGTGTGTGGGTATTCCTCCTTTTCCTGCGAGTCACTCGGGTGGCCTTCAGTACCTTTTGTTCTTGCTTGTCCCCCTACAGAACATAAATACCTGTTTCCATCCTGCCCTTGTGATTGTTTTGAGAGTACACCACTGCAACCTCTGAAATATGTCCATCATGTAAAAGAGTAAAACGATGTCATTACAGTTAATTATGAAAGCTTTTCACATGTACGTGTCTGTCCTATACCTGCGTGTGACCAGGAAACTATCTGCAATCCGCCATTTTCTCTCCTCGTCAGCGGGGGTTGTAGTGCACGCAGCGGCCACAACAGGGAGACAAAACATTATATACTGCCATCCATTGTCTCTGCTGTGTGGAGGATGAGCTCTGCAGCCGGGCAGCTCATTATTTCCCCTCACTGCTCCAAGCAACAAGAAAGGCCTCATGTGCGTCCAGAAGCTGCAGTTCATGTAAGTTCTGTAGCTTGTTTCTCTATTTAAGGGCTGTTACATTAGTGGCAAGCAATTTAAGTATACTAAACAGTAATCAATCACCCAAATTCTCAAGATATGACGTGAAGTGTACGCGGCCTATGAATGTAGGAAGTTTGAGAACATAGCAGACAATAAGAAGCTGAGATATGAAATCAGAGCACAAAAAAAAGGCATTCACCACATTTAAAAAAAAAACACACACAGGCTACATTGAAGCCACAATTTAAATCACTAACCCCCCTTTTTTAACAGGAACCTACACAGTGATGAGTGCTGTAAGCCACACAACATGGCTGTATTACAATTCAAAAACATCCGCAATATGTTTTGTTTTTATTTTTGAGGATTCGATGAAGTGGACACTAAACTTGCATGCAAAAAAAATAATAGTTTATAGGCCATACTGCATTGTGCATGCTGACTGAGGTGTGGGGCAATTAAGTGTTAAATGTGGAATGTGATTTTAGTTACGTTTATAATATTTGAAAAAAATCCTACAGTCCAATTGAACACTGTTAAGCTGCAGGCTTGTGACCTATAGCCTCAGATAGATGGAGTAGGCCTGTGAGCTGTAAGAAGCCTAATCGACGGCATAAACGAGGAGGACATAAAAGTAGAACCTACGTCATAAGTTAAAGTCTATCTGTGATAAGATGAAGTGCAGACCTATAGCTGCAGACTTCAGCTGGCTTCAATCCAAATGTGAGGCTAGCATCACTCAGCTTTTTGGGATTAATGTGCAGATCTTGGTAAGAGAGGGAAAGTGTGTGTGTGTGTGTTTGGAGAAGGGGGGTGGAGGGGGGGTCGACGGCACGTGTCGTGTCTGCGCTGAGGGTGCGTGGCAAACACGCTGCCTCGAGGGGATCTTCCCGTGACCCTTATCTGCGCGTCTCTGGGGGGGGGGGGGGGGGGGACGCCTTTTCAGCCACTCCTGGGGATGCAAATGAACATGGCCATAAAAAGAGAGGCGCAGAGACGATGGAGGAGAAGAAAGGGAAATGGGACCGTGGGGAGAAAGAGGAGGAGGAGGAGGAGGATGGAGGCGAAGAAGAGGAAGAAGAGGAGGGGAGGAGGTCAGGACTTATGCTAGAAGATCAAGCTAAATGCAATGGAAGAGATGGAGGAACAAAATAAGTTGTCCTGGAAAAAGTGTGTGAGTGTGTGTGTGTGTGTGTGTGTGTGTGTGTGTGTGTGTGTACATGTGCTTACCTGCACTGACTGTTTTGCCTGTCATTAAAATTAAAAGAAAATCAAACAGGGTTAAAAGAAGAAACAAAAACTGCTGGTTATTTATCATAAAACTGACTCCTTTAATAGAACATTTACTTGTTTTAATTTTCCATCTCCATCCCTGCATTCATTATACAGTAAATCCTTTTTTTATTTTAATTATTGCATCTTTTTTTAAAATTTAAAAAAAAAATGTGTTCTGTATTGTTCAGTCAGAGAGCTGCACAATATGTGCGTGGTGTCGTCGGGTTCATATCGCACTGCAAGGTCATGCTTCTGCTTTATTTTCCCCCTTCATTATCATAAGGCATCCATCTCTTTCTTCCATTAGTGACGCTTCACCATGTCGCCAACCCGACCTCTATTTACATGACTAAATTAGATTTCTTTCTCTCTTTTTGGTGCCTGCCTCTCATATTCATATGAGGGCTGAAAAAAAAATGTAGTAAACTGCAGCAAAGTACAACAATAGCTTAGAAGAATAAAACACGCATCGTTACATAATATCTTGCTTATATCTCACAAATAACATTTTCCTCTTCATATTTATTCCTTAAAGCTTTTTTTAGGCCTCTGATTTCATCCCTGTCGCCAACACATCAGCATTATTTAGCGTCATATCTAAATGCGGTGTAAGTTAAATTGTGTTTTAATATAAACATACTCATTCTTTTTAGGATTTTTGTCATGATGATAGATGTTTTGAGCACTTCAATGAGGGGGTTCCACCTGCTCGCCATCACCAGGGGTCCCGTTCACTCATGACATATTAAGCATCACCCCCTCGTTCCTCCTCGCGTCCCCAATTTCTATTGAGAGTTTTTCAAAAATGCATAATGTGCAGACATGGGGAAAGGGGGCCCCCCGCACGTAAACAGTCCATGACCTCTGTCTCGTGCATATGTGGCACACTTGCCCCCTGCACACTTTTGTATTGTGCGGTTGATGTCAGACGATAATGAAAATGTCATCCGCTGATGTATCAGAACACAGAGGAGGATATCGGCCTCATTTAGAGGCGTCATATATATTCTTAGAAAAAGGACATCTGTGTTTATTTTATCATCTCTCTAGCTTAAATGTAACGCGCTAACTGGCCGCTGCTGTGATTGTTTTTTCTGTTGATTGTTGTCGTTCTAAGACTACGCTCAGATTTCAAGCAGCAGGATGTGGAATAGATCGAAATGAAACTCGAGAAAAATCCAGGATTTTTCTGTGTTTTCTTTTTTTTTTTTTTTGTTCTTTGATATTCCGCCTCCATCATCTGAGATGTAGGTCAACTCACATCTCTGTTGCCTACGGCGATTTTTAAAGCTCGAATCATTTGACGCAGCTCTGTGATTATAGGAGTTTGAGATGAAGCTCATTATTTAAATGACTCGATGTTGCTTTGGGCCCTTTTTTTTTACTTTGAAGAGAAGCACTAGATTGTACAAATAGAGATGTTGATCATGGAATCACTTCTTTATTGAGACTTTTTTTTTTTTTTTGCAGAACATAATACACAAACAAAGCCATGACACCAAAAAAACTTATGAATAAAAAAAAAATTAAAAGATTTAATGTAGCAGATTTCAAAATAAAAGCTTAAAGCCATGATTATGGTGGGAATATATTAAAACCAGCGTGCATGAGAATGATGCAGGAGATTTTCTTTTATGATAAAGCAAGTAAAAAAGGAATATTCGGCTTCATCATTCTCACCCTTATTTTTTTTCCCCCATCTTCCTCTCAGATTCGGCGAGTGTATGCTCATGCGTAAACTCGCAGACCTTTGAAGTGGCCCTCTGTCACCACATGGCAAATCCCCCTGGTGTGATCCCTCTGTCCATTTGGCCACAGGAGCCACACTGGTAGGCTGCCTACGGCTCTGTCTGTTCTGTCATTATGGAAACCAGTATATTACTTCAACTGGTGCCCAGTAATTATGGCTGATCTCTCTCTCTGTGTCCTGTTATGATTGTTAAAATACCTTTAAACAGATCTGTTCACCTGTCTGAGGTTCTCGGCTGCTCTATAACCTCTTTACCTAAAGCTTCTTCTCCCGGCTTCTGTGTGACCATTACTGTCATCTCTTGTTAATCTCATGGGATTGTGGGGCGAGCGTCCATCTGTGTGCAGTCGTCAGAGCCGCTCTCCTGTCCTGTTAGCGGCTCTCTGTCGGTGTCTCAGGTGAAGGCGAAGACTGTGGCTTTTCTCTTGGCATTCACCGCGTGCCTTAATTGTATTGAAATTAAATCAAGGTCCACTGTGAACACAAAGAGCTCAAACCCAAACTTGGAGAAAAATGTTCCTCGCCTCATGTTCACATCCTGCTCTGCTCTTGTTACTTACCCTGCCATTAGCAACACTTTCCCCCCCTCCTTTGTGTTCATAATGTGAACATGTTTTCTAAACGCTGTCACTTTTCTGAATCTTCAAAGTACATCCAGTTTTTTTTTTCTCTCAGACTTTTCTCATCCCTCTCTCTCCTCCTCACCTGTGATCTCTCCTCCCTGTGTGCTCAGAGGCGGCTATGCGGTCCTTTCACACGTCAAAGTACATCGCATGCTAATCCGACACACGCATGCATCCTCCTTTTTCGACATAAAAACATGATTTTTCTATACGGACAATACAGGGGGGGAGGGAAAAACAAAACATACATGATACGAGCCGATGACATTGTGAGTCCTTTGAATGGTCAGCCTGGAGTGTGTGACTGCATGCATGCGTTTGTGAAGGTTTTTTTTTTTTACAGCAACATCATATGAACAAAAAAGCAGAAATGTAAGCGCACAATAAGACACACTCTGTATACATACACTACAGCAGAATTAAAAAAAAAAAAAAAAAAGCAGCAGAGAGAGAGACAGGAGAGCACAGAGGGTGAGATAGAGAGAGCGAGCGAGCGAACGAGCGAAGCTACCTTTGTTGCACCATAAAGAGAGCAGCAGCCCAGCTACCTGACTGCTACCATTCCTGCAGACCATCTTCCCCCCTTCAGAGCAAAACAAAGGATGACGACTAGATATTTAGGAGTACACACCGCGATGCGTAGCTATGCCTCATCCTTCAGCGTAGCGCTGCCTCTGCTGGTCCTGTTCAGGAGCCCGGTGCGGTTTTAATCAGACCAAGCATTTCTTCATTACAGTTGGTAAAGCTGTGTCGTTATCTCCCCTCTTTCCCTCCCTCGCTCCCTCCCTCCTACTCTCCATCTCTTCTCTCTCTCTCTCTCTCTCTCTCTCTCTCTCTCTCTCTCTCTCTCTCTCTCTCTGTGTGCACTCTGCGCATGTAACTATAGCCATGTA